CGGGGAGAGCCACACCAAGAAGCTTCAGGGCAGGGTTGGGCATGGCGGCCTGAGTCCGAGCAGCCATAGCTGCTTTGTGTTGTCCTTTGGGCATCGGAGCAGGGCCTAGTAGTCCGCCATAGCCTCGGCCTATGAGAGTGAAGTGTGGGTATTGCATACTGTAACGGTGCAGACCAGAACAAGAACCGACCTCTCAATACAAAGTATAAGATAGCACAGCGGAAGACTTAGATACCAGTGATCCGAACAATGAATAGTGCAATGCAGCCCTGAACATACATCATCATCATCGTTACATGGTGTGAATGGGGTCTGGCGCTTCACACAGGAAGACTGCGCCAGCCCCTACCATACACAGACGAAGAAGAAGGGGGTTAGACGAAGAGGAGGGGAAGATGGGAATGTCGTCAACACCAAGTCTTCGGCACAGGCCCAAATAGTCCCTCGTCGAAATGTCTGAATCCCAAATGTCAAGTCTGGATCCAATGTCGTCAAGTCTCAAGTCACAACTCTGTCTCTCTCTGTCGTAGTCTGGGAAGTCAGGTGGTGAGAGGGTGAGAAGAGATGGTGGACTTAGAAGAGGAAGAAGAAGAACTCTCTCTCTCTCTGTGTCCAGTACTAACCTGTGAAGTTGGTGCCTTGATGCAGGTACCTCGCAGATGGAGCTGGAGCGATTGCGCCACAGGTAAGTACCACTGGCCTCCGCCAGTATCTCTCTCCGATACTGCCACCCTACCACTATAGCGCCCAGCGCTGAAGACTACAGCTATGGCTATGGGCGCCCGGCGCCGAAGACTACTACTAGCGCTAATACTACCGCCTAGCGCTGAGGACTACTGCAGCGCTCCTCCTGAGTGCTGCGGCCGAATCCTGAAGACTACTCGTGCCTCTGACAACTACCTACCCGTGAAGTGCATGGGACTATCCTATGTACTACTCGGGTGTGCCTCCTGACTACAGGCGAGCAGTCCAGGATGCTGCTCTTGCCAATGCCGAAGGGAGGCAGGGGCTGCAGCTGCAGCTCCTGCTCGAGCTGGCGTGGGGAACAGGCTATTTCTGGCCTGTTCCTGAAACCCTGTTTCCGTGCCTGAGTCTTAGGTAGGTCGAACACAATGAGGGCCTGAAAATGGCCCTCCGTTTCAGGCTGGAAAGCCTTTCGGTCTGAAAGGCCCAGAAATAGGCTGAAATGGAATAGGGCCTGCAGGCCCTCGTATTTCAGCTTTCAGGCTGAAACGACCGGGGCCTGTAAGCCCTAAGTTTTAGGCTTTTAGGCTGAAAGTGCGGGACGGGCCCTGCAGGGCCCGTGTGGCTACGCAGTATGCCACAGTGGGAGGGGCGGCCATGGCTATGGTGGACCTTGAGTGATACCTGCAGTAGAAGAGGGACTCGGACATGATTCTGGACCAGTCATTCAACATTGTATTATTATTTCTTGTATGAATAAGAGAAGGGGGAGATAAGGAGGAGGAGATTGTTGGGCGAAGAAGAAGAGCCTTGTCATCATCTTTGCTGGTGTACACCTTCTTCTTCTTCTTTCTCATTTCTTCTTCTTCTTCTTCCTCATTTCTTCTTCTTCTTCTACTCTTCTCTCTCCTCTCAAGTTCATTCATTTCCTTCTGCAGTTGGATGGCATTGTACTTCTCAGTGGATGTGTATCTCGAAATTGGCCAGGGTCATAACATTGGTATCAGAGTGGATTCTACTTGCTGGTGAGAGTTGACTTTGCTTCCCTAACCCTAACCTAAGTGGTTGAGGGCAACACTTAGGGTTAGGGTTGGATGGTTGAGGGAAGTGGGGCAGCGTGGCTAAGGGAAGCTGCCCCCACCTGGTTAGGTGATGTGGGGTCAACATAGACCCTAACCAGGTTGCTTGAGAGTGAGATTAGGGTGGCGAGACATTTCGAGGAGACTTCATGCGGCAATTTGAGAGAGGCGACAGTGAGAGGCACTCGCACCTGGAATCTGAGTCAAGGGAGACACTTGGCAACTTAAGGGCTGCCCTCAAGTAAGGCGAGCTTGAGGGTCAGCGGCCATTCTGCATCAACGGACTACAAGTTGCTACTTTGTTCTTCAACATCGACGGGGGATCCGGCGTTGCACTTGGGTGTTGGAGTCAGACCCTCCTAGGAGATAGGACACTAGTGTAGGGGTAGCGTTAGATGGGTCAGGAGGACCATATGAGAAGGGGGGTGAGTTCTCTTCATCTCGAAGCTCAAGGCCAGTCAGGTAAATGGCGTGCAACTACGGGATGCCCATGTATGTGTGTATGGTATTGATTGACCTGCTGGGGTACTCTGGGTTTCTTTTCCTACTCCTCTGTGGTCTTGATTGTGTGACTGAATGCATGTGATCTACCTACTCACCTGATGGATGGAAAATAAAGTATCTTGTTATACATGCCGAGTCTTTCTACAGTGCTTTGTCTTTTCATCACTGAACGGTTGTAGTCTGTAGGTTTTACCAGAAGTTGAAATTTCGTTTTTCAGCGCAGTTGAGACTGAACTAAGTTCAGGTGGGACTCCTCTTGGTTGGGACCTGGTTGAGACCTACGTGGGACCCTTGGGACCCAGCGGAACCGGGCCCAAACAAGGAGAGCCTCTGGACCCAAATCAGTTAGGCATTGACCTCTTGTCTTCTTGGCTGGGATATGAGTTCATTCTTCTTGGATTAGGACACCCACTGCCGAGGGGATCTTGGCTTTGACGTTTCGCCTGTATTCTGATTGCACCATCTGTGGCTTGACTCACACCCTGTACACCACTCAATTCTCCATTGTTGCATTTAGTTACTCGTTGTCTGATTTGTTGTACGGACACGGAGCTGGTCAGACTGGACTCGAGAGGACCTCGTATGCAGTCTGATCAGACTGGGTCACTGGATCAGACCTCTCTTTGAATTTGAATGTTTCTTTTGTTGTTCTCTACTTCCAAATGAAATGCCGCTCCGGCTAGGAGTTCTACCTTCTCTTCTCTGAGTTTTATTTGTTTTTCTGAGTTCATTTCCAATGCCCGTGGAGACACGCAATCTGAAAGAAGAAAGAGAGAGGAGGGAGAGAGAACAGGGAGAGAGGGAAAGTGATAGTCTGAGGTGGGCAAGGACTGGGAAAAGGAGTGTTCGCCTAAGCGCGAGGGGGAGTGAACCTCTTGAGAGTCTGATTGATCCTTTTGTTGTCTGGCGACTCTCTGATCCACCTGCCCACACTGACAGTCCAAAGATGGCCCAGCTAACTTCAACGCAATGGCGGGCCTTGTTAGATGCAGCCAGTGATGTTGAGAAACCTCATCTGCAAGCACTCTTAGATGGTGCAATAAAACGGGAACAGGAGTCAGAGAAGGAGAGGAAGGAGGCCTTGCTGAGAAGGCAAGTAGCCCTCCTAGAGACTGTTCCCTCACTGACTGAAGAGCAGTGCGGGGAACAGCTGCAGTCCATCCTCACAGCCTTTGTTCAAATCAGGAATCTTGAGGACCATACCACTCAGATCGCTGAAGTCTTTGCAAAACTGTAGACACTTCAGGATGATCTGACTGAGATGACCCTCAAGTACCATGAACTGACAAAGGAGGTGGCGGACCTGCGACAAGCCCAAGTGGCCAACCCTCTTCCTCTACCTCCTAGATCTGAAGCTGCAATCGAAACTACCTCTGCCCCTCTTACTGTATCTTCTTCTACCTCTTCTTCGGGTGTGATGGCAACCTCCTCAGGACCTGCAGCAGGTGCAGATTCCACTGTTGCTGTAACAAGCAATGAGGCTGGAACTTCGGCAATTGCTGCAGCCCCAAGGCCGGAACCAGCTGCTGCTGGTCCCAGCTATGCCAGTCCCTACGTGGACCGGAAGGCGGTACAAATGCCGTCCAAGTACGACAGCAAGAATGACATCGAGTCCTAGATCGGCTCCATGAGAGCCTACTTTGAGATCCTGGGAACTCAACCTGAGAACCAAGCGGTAATCATGGGAATGAATGTCGAGCCAGTCGTACGAGGCTTCCTAGAAGTCCAAGCAACACGGGCTGGGTTTCCAAAGGCTGCACTAGCCAAATGGCTAAGGGCCACTCCGGTTGCCTCCCTCGAAGAGCTCCTTATCTCCGAATATCAAGATCCACATGTTGCTGCTAAAGCGAGGATTCAACTAGACAAAGTAAGGCACAACAAGTGGAATGGCTCCATGAAAAGCCTGCAGACCTATCTAAGCAAGTTGTTTGTCACTCCTGGTTTGGAACTGTCCACTCAATCTTGCTTGGATGTGGTTAAGGGCGCGGTTCCAAATAACTTTACTAGTCGCCTGGGCAGGGACTACATTGCATACACTGACTGGCTCGCCTTAATGAAGGACGTAGTCAGTCTGGAGGCTATGGACCTCGTTAGCACGGCAGGCAGCAAAAAGCCCATGGGCGGCAGACGGTTCAAGGGCAGCAGCCGTTTTGTTGTGAATGACCTGCTGGAGGCCGAAGAAGAAGCCGATGCGGGTGACCCGACTCTTGGTGACGACCAAGAACAGGACTCCGATACAACTTGTTCTTCAGCCCATGAGTCCGACGCAAATAAAGAAGAAGAAAGTTTTTCTGACTTTAAAAAGACTGCCAGTACTAAGGGACCGAATCGGAGTGCCGGGAAAAGTTATGTCCTACTCCCCAAAGGAGTTAAGATCCCGCCTAAACCGGAGGATGCAACTACTAAACCTTGGGTTGACCTCCGGATCACTGAAAATGACTGGCGGGGCAGACTCAAGAAGGGGGTTTGCCTGCATTGCCAAATCATAAAGTTCAAGACTGTTATAGGCTGCAGGGAAACCAGAACCGGGCGTAGAGTCAGATTCAGCAAACTCTACAGCAGGGAAATCAGGTTCTGATGAAAATCAGCAGCCCTCCCTTGAAGCCCAATCATCTGCTGAAGACAAGGCTGAGGTAAGTAATGTATTGTATGTCGAGCCTTGGGAGGAGTCTGAGATGGTTGACTTCCACTACCACTTGGAGCATTGGGCTGAGATGAAACAACAGCGTGCCCAAGGGACAATGAAGTTGATCTTCCTTAAACTTCTCATAAACCACCGCTATCTCCGTGTGTTGGTTGATTGTGGTGCTACTGCTAACTTCATGTCACCCCACGGGATACGCAAGGTGGGCTTGGGGATGAAGCAAGTGGCCCTGCAGAACCCTTGCCGGACCCAAGTTGGCAACAAAGAAGTTGTCTCTTCTACACATGCAGTCAAAGGTGTGAGCGCTACCTTTGACAAAGGTAAGACTGTCACCCATGCACTGAACTTCTTTGTCCTTGACAAGTGCCCCTTCGACTCTGTCCTTGACTTGGGCTGGCTGCCGTCCCAATGCGAATGGACTAAGTGGAAGGAATCACTCTTCATGGTCAAGGATGCTCAGTGGAACGAGCTTCCTGTCCTCTTGGATGACAAACACGAATCCCCAGTGACTTTTCTGAATGCATTGAAGTTCTGCAAGAAGTGGCGCAAGCACAAAGAGGAAGAACAGTTGTATGTTGCCTTTGTTCGTCCTGCTCATGTGCCTTCTACTTTTGCGGTTAATACCACTACTACTTTGATTGATAATCCTACTTCTGGTACTTCTACTACTAGCACCTCTATCTCTCTATCCTCTAATAGTCCAAATGATCCTACTTCAGATTCGGTCGTCTCTATACGCGACTTACGACCGGACCTTGGTGATCCCTTTGCTGATTCCCCACCCCCACCTGTCCCATAAGACATCCAAACCCTCCTCGATCGGTTTTCGAAAGTCTTGGCCGAGCCACGTGGAGTCCCCACACGACCGGTTCGACACACCATCGAGTTGGTCGAGGGTGTCGTTCCTCCAAAGGGCTGCGTGTACCGTATGGGACCCGGCGAGTTGGAGGAACTCCGGCGGCAGATCGATGAGATGATTGACAAAGGGTGGATCAAACCAAGTGAATCTGAATTTGGTGCTCTTGTGTTGTTTGTACCAAAGAAAGGAGGCAAACTCCGCATGTGTATTGACTATCGCGGTCTAAACCGCATCACAAGAAAGAATGCTTACCCATTGCCTCGTATAGATGACTTGTTTGATGCCGCAGGCGGGGGTGCAAGGTCTTCTCCAAGATCGATCTCAAGTCTGGCTACCACCAGATTGAAGTCGATTCTGCGGACCAGCACAAGACTGCGTTCAAAACTCGCAACGGGCTTTATGAGTTTACCGTAGTGCCCTTCGGTCTCACGAACGCACCAGCCACTTTCCAAAGCCTCATGGACAAGGTCCTCCGCGAACAGATTGGCCGGTTCGTGGTAGTGTACCTGGACGATATTCTAATTTTCAGCAAGTCCATGGAGGAACACCTCAAGCATCTTGAGGAGGTGCTCGCGATGCTCAAGAAGACGCAGCGCCATCTCAACTTGGAGAAATTTGAGTTTGGGAAGGATAGCGTCATCTATCTTGGGCACCGGTTGTCTGCCGCAGGCCTAGAGCCTGAGGCAACTAAGATTGAGGTCATACGTAATTGGCCTCAGCCTGCGAACATTCGCGAATTGCGTTCTTTCCTTGGTCTCGCGTCGTACTATCGGAAGTTTGTAGCCCGTTTTTCTATCATTGCTCGTCCGTTGTTGCGACTAACCAGTAAAAATGTGTCTTATTCCTGGGATGTCGCGTGTACGGAAGCTTTTCGAACCCTCAAGGAAGCTTTGGTAAGTTACCCGGTACTCCGCATTGCAGATCCCAAACTGACCTTCGTAGTTACTACGGATGCAAGTCGGTATGGAATCGGTGCAGTGCTGCAACATGATGACGGTGATGGCCTGCGGCCGCTCGAATACTACAGCAAACGAATGCCCAGCGTAAAGGTAGCCACTTCCACCTACATGCGCGAGCTCTACGCTTTGCGTATGGCATTGGATCACTGGAAACATTCCCTTTTGGGACGCCACTTCAAAGTCTTCTCAGATCATGAGACCTTGAAGTGGATCAAACAGCAGACTACTCTGTCCCCTACCTTGCTTCGTTGGTTTCATGAGGTTGACATCTTTGATTTTGAATTGAGACATAAAAAGGGTTGTTACAATCGAGGCGCTGACGCTTTGTCTCGCCACCTTGAGTACATGACTTGCCTTGTGAAATCCTACGACCTCCGGAAGAAATTGAAGGAGGACCTCGTAGAGCAGACAGCCAAGGATCCGGAACTCAGTTCCATCCTTGAGCAGCTGCGGGCTGATCCTAGTAGTCTGCCTGATTTCCACGAGTATGGAGGACTGATTTTTCGCTGATACGGGAACCATGACCGTTTGTGTGTACCCAACCATGAGCCTCTCCGCACACACTTTCTGGAATTGGCTCATGGCCGGAGCGGGCACTTCGGCATGGCAAAAACGTACGCTAATTTGCTGAGACAGTTGGATTGGCCTGGCAGGAAAGGGACTGCTGAGAAATTTATAGCTGAATGTCAAGTCTGTCAACGAATCAACCATGCAGACAAAAGCCTATGGGGCTACTCACACCCCTACCCATTCCTGATGGCCCCGGGGAGTCTGTCTCCATCGATTTCACTGACATGGGTAAGGTAAGCAAGAATGGGTTTTCACAAGTCACGGCGATTGTTGACCGATTTTCAAAGTTTCTTAATCTGATCCCTCTACCGCCTCACGCCCCAACAGATCTAGTGATTCGCGAATTCCAGCAGAAATACCTGCTGCAATTCGGAACCCCGAAGACTCTTGTGAGCAATCAGGACCCGCGGTTCATTAGCGCTGAATGAAAGGAGTTCACGTCCCACCTAGGAATCAAACTGTGCATGACATCTGGCCGACACCCCAAAGCCAACGGATTGGCAGAGGAGATCAACCAGACTGTACTCCAACTACTCCGCGCTTTGATCATTCCTGATCAGGAAACATGGGATGAGGAGCTGTATTCTGTCAAGGGGTTGTACAACAACTCCGTCCACTCTGCCACCGCCACGACGCCGAACAGGCTGCACTACGGGTTGCAGATCCGCAATCCGCTCTCCTACTTGTTCCCTGAGCAGCCAGCTGGTTTAACACTCGACAGACCCGGCTTCAGGGCTAAGTATGATCGCTTGCTCAAAGTTGTTGTTGCAACTATGACCAAGCAACAGCACGCCATGATTCATCATGCGAACAAGAAGCGCAAACCATCGGAGATTCAGGTAGGAAGTTATGTCTGGGTAAAGATGTCTGAATTCTCAGAGGAGGAGGGACTCTCACGCAAACTCCTCCCACTCTACTACGGGCCTTGGGAAGTTTTGGATGTAATCAGGGAAGGTCATTTTGGCCCTTAGTACGTTGTGGACGTGCCAGCTCACCTGCGCACATATCCCGTGTTTCATGCTTCTAAACTGAATCTCCATCGTGATGCCGAGACATTCGATTACCACGAAGATATGATCCCTCGCGCAATCAAGGGCGGGCATGAGATAGATAGAATCAAACAGCATGTAGGTAAAGGGAGAAACGGACAGTACCAGGTTCATTTCATGTATCACCCATTAGATGATCTCTACTGGATCTCCAAACAGGAACCGCTACGCAGCGCACCGCGCGTTGTTAAAGATTACGAGCAACAGATCGCCGCTAACGCCACACCGAAGATCTCAACAAGGCTCTCTGCAACAGAGTATTCCAGGAATCTCTTTGCCTTGCTCGCCTACGATGCGTTTGTCGAGGACTCAGAATGAGTTACTCGCTCGAAGGGACCTCGCTCTTGAGGGGGGGGTAGTGTGATAACCCGTCCAAACACGGACTGAAACACACAACTGATTTCTGAGTTTTGCTCATAGACTGAATGCCCTACTGAGTCCCCCGCCTGCTAAGTCTGTGTGTGTGTGTGCTTGCTGGACTGCATGTCTGTCTGAGTGCTGGTTGGCTTG